ACTTTCAGGGCTAAAAGGTTTCAAGGAAGGTTGCCCCCCTCCAAGGTCAAGAGCTTTCCGGGCTCTGAGACACCTTCCACTTGGGATAAGGCAAGGGCAGGTGTTCAGGGCTCTTCCCCCCAGGAACCGAGCTGGTGTCCCAGAAGACATCCATCCTCCCTGGCAAGAGGTCTCCAAAGCCGATCTACCTCCCCTCCACGTGCAGTAGCGAGGGTCCTGCCACCCCCGTCCCCACCACTGTGCCGCTCCTCTCCCCCTCCTCGGCCTGTCCCGCCCCGCCCCCAGGAGAAAGCTAGCGGAGACGCCGCGGAGAGATCCAAGGTGGAACACCCCGGAGATCAGACGATGGGATCCCCTCTGCTCTGGGATGGGATCTCCTCTCCTCTGGCCGGCAGCCACAGCTTGTCCCGTTTTCTTTGGTGTGTTCCCTCTCTCCCCAAATAAGTGCAGGGGGCAGCACCGGAGCAAACTGCTGGCCAGGGCCCTCCAGCGGGAGCACCCTCGGCGTCCCCAGCAGCCCAGGCCCCGCGGGAGGAGCTGGGTGCTGTGGAACAGGGCGCTGCCAGAGAGCCGGGGCCACCCTCTGTCCCTCGCCGGGCAGGGACAGTGCGGGGCTGGGATCACCTGCCACTGGTGCCTTGCTGGGGCCAGAAGGCCGAGGGTCAGGGCTGTAGGGTGGGGAGGACTTGGAAGCCTTGGTGGCTGTTTTGAAGCTCGGTGGTCTGTTGGTTCTTTAAGGGAACGATGGTAGCTTCTGTTGCTAAACTGTACTGAGTGCGTGCTGAATATATACGTTCTTTCACACAGCTGGCTGGGGTCTGTGTGGTTGCCTGTTTCCCATGTAGGGTGTAGCAGAGGAGAAGGAGGTGGAGGAGGAAGGCAGCATGTAGCTAAGCCCCTGCCTGGCTTTTAAGCTGTGCAAGAAGGAGCAGGAGTGCCCTGGGCTGAGCCATCCTCCTCCATCAGCTGCCGGCAGCAGCATCCCCAGGACAGGATGCCTGGAGACAGCGAGAGTTGTTTGGGCCCCAAGGGGGGTTCCCTGCTGGGAATGGGACCCAAAGAGCCCCTTGGACCTCTGAAGTGGAGTGGCACAACCCTACAGGAGATGTTGCCTTTAGCCCTCTGCCTCCAAGGCTCAAGTTGGGGTTGGTTTTGCTGTAGCAATGGGAACAAGCGAATTTTTGTAACTCTCTTTTTTGACACCTGTGCGGATTTTAAAATCTGTTGATTTCACTTAAGCTGGACATTAAGTGTTTAAGAAACTGTTGGGGGTGGGATGGGGGAACAAGGGACCATTGGGATTTTGTTTACTTTTTGGCAATGTCCAAAAGCTGCCACGACATTTCAGGGTGAGGAAGAATCTGGAGCTCACGGAGCTGCCCCGGCTCTGTTTCTCTCTCAGCTTTCTTTGCATTTATTTCCTGAGGTCCTCTCTGTTTTGGAGCTGTTGGTTCTGTCCACGGGCCCGTGGCTTCTTGATGTGAGTGCTGGATCCTGAAAAGCTGAGCGTGAATCCCTCCTCATCCCCAGCATTCCTGCTGCTGGGATGCTTGGAATAGCAGGAGGGATGCTGAGCTTGAAGCTGTGCTGTTGCTGGGGATGGAGGTCCAGGATGAACTCCTCCTGGATGGGCAGAGGTGTTAAGAAGTCCTAAAGAATAAAGGTTGAGGTCAGGATTGGTGGACAGGAGAGAGCGAGGAGCGGTGCTGAGGTCAGGGCAGGGTTGGGGCTCGTTTGGAGAAGTCATGAGACCCTGGGCAGGGTGGGAACACAGGAGGTATGGCTGGGATGGTGGGGAATTATCCATGCTAGAGGGAAATCCGTGCCCTGGAGAGGCATGGAGTGCCAGGGCTGGGAAGGAGGTCCCACAGCCATGCAGGAGGTGTCACCCCTGGCTCTCCCACAGCCCAACCTGGAACACTTCGCTTTAGAGAGTTTCTCTTTTTTTTTTTCTCCTTGATTAATTTGTTTTCTTTCCTTCTTCTCCTTTGCTTTCAAGAAAAGGAATCTGTACAGTCTAGGGGAAATGTTGTCTGAGAAGAGTTTTGTCAGCTGTTGGCAGTGATCAGGATTACAGGAAAACACATATATGGTTACGTGGTATCTCCTATCACCATTAGATAATGTGAAGAATTGCTTAAAAGGACCCTGTCAATTATATATATATATAATATATATATATAGTTTTGCATTTTTTTTACTCTCTGTGGTTTGTAAGATCCTTTTAGAAGCTTGGAAATAAAATTTCCTTCCCCACTTATTTTCTACCTTTTTTTTTTAACTTTTATTTGGGAAAAACAAAAGTTGTCTTTCCCTGTGTCCCTGACAAGTAGCAAACGAAGCTGAAATGACACTTAACCTGCCTCCAGCAGGGGAGACTCCAAGGCTGCCCAGGTAAGGGGGATGTTGTATTGATTCCTTGTGGGTTTTGGATACGATGGCTTTGCTCTGCTGGTTGTTTGGAAGAGTTGGCTGGAGGCAGAAGGGGAAGGAGAATGGGCAACATTTATTTGTCTGTGACTCCTGAGCTCAATGAAGGGGTCAGGTGGAGCAGGGTCCTTGGGAAAGCACTGGAGTTTCTGTTTGATAAAATCCTAGAATGGTTTGGGTTCAGAGGGACCTTAAAGCTCATCCAGTCCCACCCCCTGCCACGGGCAGGGACACCTTCCTCTATCCCAGGTTGCTCCAAGCCCCAGCCAGCCTGGCCTTGGACACTTCCAGGGGTGGCTTGGACACTTCCAGGATCCAGGGGCAGCCACAGCTTCTCTGGGCAACCTGTGCCAGGGCCTCCCCACCCTCACAGAGAACAATTTTTTCCTAAAGAAACTTCTCACTGAGGACTGGGAGATGGGGCTGCAGTCCAGCAGAGCCTGTTCCATCCCACAGCTCACAGAGCATCTCTCCTGGAGCAGCGAGGCCGCAGCACCCTCCTGGCCCAGGGCACGGGGCATCCATCAGGGCACTGCCACTCCTGCACTCCAGGCTTCCCCTGCTCACACCAGGGGCCCTCAGGGTGCTGTTCTCTCACCTCTCTCTGCTTTGGGGCCTCCCCACATCCAGCACTCCCCTCCCTGGGCTCGGAGCCGGCGCCCCCCACGCTCGCCCACGCTGAGATCTCACTGGGAGAGATGAGATTTCGTTAATTGTGGAATCACAGAATCATTTGGGTTGGACAAAGACCTTCAAGCTCCTCGAGTCCAAGCGTTTCCCCAGCACTGCCAAGCCCACCCCTAACCCCTGTCCCCAGGTGCCACATCCACACAGCTTTTAAATCTCAACCAGGTTTCTCTTGGGTTTGCCGGGGCCGCTCGGTTTTGCCTTTGGTTGGGTGAAGGGCACAGGGCAGACACACCTGGAGCAGAAGATGCTTTGAAGAAACATGATTTTTCTCTTCTTTTGTTTTTCCCCTGAGAGATGAGAGGAGCTCAGGGGGGGCTGCTCCCTTTAGCTGCAAACAGCAGTGGAAATAACACCAGTGACCCCACAGTGTAGCAGGGAAAGGACACTGGAGTCATCCTCCTTCTGGAGCTTAAACGCTCTCAGGGTGACCTGACCTGAGTTCAGGTATGTGGTTTCTCTTCAAAGGAACCCCAGTGAAACTTGCACTGCTGGTGTGAGACAGTGAAGCTCAGAATGTGTTTTATTTATTTACTTTTTAATCTGAAAGAAATCTGGCCCCTGGGGCAAATAGCAGCAGCTTGTAGCAACCAAAGGCCCTTTCTCACTGAGATGAAGAGTCTCCACCTTTTATCTACTCTTCTGAACTTGAATTGAGCACACCCATTTCAAGGGAGTTACTAGAAAATTCCATGAGGTCTGGTTCAGGCTGGGTTCATCTGGAGAAGGATACGAAATAGCCTCGTTATTTTAATCCCCTTTAATTTCCCTACTGAATACTGAGGGATCAGACAGAGGGAAGGCAACGAGGACACTCTAAAATTAGTCACTGGCAGGTGAGCTGCCCAATCAGCCCCTGGATCACAGGCTGGTGTGAGGGCTTGGAAGGGAAACAGCCCCTTTATTTTCAGAAGTTTATTTTCAGAAATTTATTTTATTTTTGTTTTAGTTTGTAGCATGAGTGCAGCACACCACACCCAGACCTCGGGGTGGGCTTCATCTGCTAAACCTGAGTCACTCAGTGCTGGCACAGCCCGAGGCTCCAATTGTGTCAGCTCTGCTGCACTCTCTGGGCACTGCCAGGTCTAAACTGGGTCAGGTGAGCAGTGACCTAAAGTGCCCCGTTCTCCTGAATAAAACCAGAAGACTGGGGCAGCTGAAGGAGCTGCAGTGTCCACATCACACCTGCTGGCAGGTGAGCAGAATCCTGCCCTCAGAGGCTGATTCCCTCCATTTTGATAGGTAAAACCAGACCTAAGCTGTTTAGGACTTGCTCATCATCTGCCCTGAGACAGTCCTGGTATCCCCAGAGTGTGGGAAGCGCTCCAGGATATTTGGGAGCCTCGTGGCACGGGCGGTGCAGAATCCTCTGCTGCAGACACACGGCTGCTTTGTCTGTGAGCTGTAGACTGAGGAGCCTGCTGGGCTGAGCTGCTCTTTGCCTCCTTGTGAGGGTGAGAATTCGGTGTTAAATGCTCAGGAACAAGAACAGCTCAGGGGCAGCAAAGATCAGGGCTCTGCAGAGCCTCGGACGTGCCCGGGCTGTGACCAGGGGCCGAGGTTTTGAAGCAAATTGCACTTGGCAGCTGTTTTCATTTCACCCCGTGGTAAAAACCACCACTCTGAAAACAACCAGTTTGTGCAAAACGAGTCACCACAAGATCTTTGTTTCCTCGTTCCCAGAAACCAGGCCTAAGTCTGACTCAGAAGGTATTAATCTGTGCTGGATAAAGGAGGAATGCAACGTTCTGCGTGTGCAGTGCTTGCTTAGTGAGGAATTTTGTTCAGGAATAATCTCAGATATACTGGATGCTCCTCACTTGGGATGGTTATTGGTCAAATTATCAGATGCTTAACAGTCATCTCTTATTTCGTGCAGTCAATACAAAGTTTCTAAGGCCCAGTGTGGAGACCAGTGAGTGCAGCCATGAGTGTGGATCAGGTTTCCAGTGACAGACAATAACCAGCACACTTAACCAGCAGCACAGGGGATATTAAGTCCCTTAAAGTTTACAAAATTATACCCTCTCATCACACACAGCAGAAAGAATTATAATGCATTAAGTAATATATTTCAGGTTCATGTGGAATCGAGAAGTTAGGAAATGTAATCAGACAAGAATTCAGAAGGTTCAGAAGAAGCCTGGCTTAGAAGAATTTTTACAGCAAATTTGTACTC